GAAGAGACGGCTACATTTAGGAGTTTCGGCAGTGAAGGGGTGAGAGCGGGATGCCAGCCATGTAGGGCGCTTGAACTCATGAAGTCTGGGAACCAGCGAATGCAGCTCTTCGGAGCAATTTCCATGAAAGTATTTGTAGAACAGTCAGAGGGAGGCGACGGCGCGTCTGTGAGAAAGTGACTGTAGACGAGACGCCAGGGCAGAGCCAACCATATTGCATATCCGCCTCTGGAGCCTATCAAGAACCCCGAGGCAAACAGAAGGGGCGCCAGACCATATATGGCAGCAATATTCCATGCAAGGGCGAATTGTGGATTTGTATATCTGGAGGATCGACTCAGAGGAGAAAAACTTCCTAGCGCAGCTCAGGGAGCCAACTTTCCTCGCAGTGGACGAGGCAATTGCCTCGATGTATTTATTCCATCTCAGGTCAGCAGTCAACGTGAGACCGAGAAGCTGCAGAGAGTTGCTCTCGAGAAGTTGAGCGTCAGACATTCTAATGGAGGGAAGGGAAGGATCGCTGTGGTGATTAATAGAGAGCAGTTTTGTCTTCGAAGCGTTGAAGTTGACCAGCCAATTCATGCCCCAGTTCACAATCGATTGGACGTCCTTTTCGAGACGCACGGCAAGGTGAGTTTTGTCAGCGAGACTAGATTTGTTTTTGAGGCAGGAATATAATTGTGGTGTCATCCGCGTAGATGCCAACTTGGGAAGTTACGGCGTCAGGAAGATCATTTATGTAGATAAGGAAGAGGGTGCGGCCTAGGATGGAGCCTTGAGGGACACCTGCGTTCGTGGGATAGGAACTGGACGAGAATCCGCTGAGAACGACCTTCAATTCACGGTTTGACAGGAATGATTGTATTAGGTTATATAATCGACCCGTAATGCCATAACCCTGGAGGTTGCGCAGAAGGCCGGCATGCCAAACCCTATCAAATGCTATGAAGATGTCTAGTGCCACGGCTCGGGCTTCCCCATTATTTTGGAGAGCTCGGTAGACTGTTTCAGTGATGGCTGTAAGCACATCGGCTGTGGATCGGGCAAAGCGGAAACCATATTGCTTGTCTGAGAGCAGATTGTGGGATGTGAGGTGGTTAACCACACCGGTATTGATTAGAGCTTCGAAGACTTTGCCGAAGAGGGGAGAACACAATGATGAAATATAATTTATAAAATTTGACACTCCCAGATGCGCAGAGCGAAAGAGTGAGTAATCTACCTAAGGAGCTTGTTTAAACGGATGTCAGAACATGTAACGGAGTGGATTGTACATTGTCAAACGTCGCTAAGGGCTACGAAGGATTGGCAGTTGCTGAAAGTAATGATCTCCCACGTCGAAAATTCTAATTTTTGATTTTTGATTCAGTTGGTCGAGTTTGTAAAGAGGGTTGTGGTGTACTTCACACCGGATCTAGTAGTCTTTGTTTGAGTTGGGATAAAATCTAAAAAGCTGATTTTCAAGTCAGACAGAATCCAACGCTTTGCTACCGTATGACTAGTATAAAATGAATAAATGTATCTTGGTCTATCTTGATTAATTCGTTACTTATTCTTCTCTTGCTTTTATGTTCAATAACTAAATAAAAGGCAGGGTCATGAATGCTTATTTTTAATGCAAATAAGTAATCTCCCCGTTTGGAAGATTGAACGAGCAAGACTTTTTCCTTATTGAATGACATTAATGTTTAGTCAAACGGAAGACTTAATTAAATTTAGTAAATATTAAATGCAGTAGCAAAACGTTAGTCAAAAGCTGTTTGTTAATTTTACACACTGTTTTCCTCGGAAAAAAAACTTAATATTTTTCTTATAGCCTCAACATTTTGACCGTTGTATGCATCGTCTGTCTTTATCTCTTTGTTAAAGTTGGTAACCTCATTGTTTTTAGCGAAATAAAAAAACATTAAGATCTGTTCTATAAAATTACAATGAGGATTTATATTTTTCTGGTTAAGCTATCTATTCACCACTTAGTAATACTATATTTAGTTGTTATGGTAACAAAAAACTTTACTCAAGACGAAAAAGTCCTGTGTTATTCACATTATAGACATAGTCATTTTAAGTAGGGGAGATATGGCTGCTAATAATTTTTTTTTCTGTTGTTCTATTTTTGCAAATATCGATGTCCTATACGAGGGTGAAAAGTAAATTGACTGACTATGAATAAGTGACGGTACAGATAAACTGATAACTGACTGTTCAAAGATTTAAATGTAACTTCTAGCGAAGTTTTTTCGGAAACAGCCAAAATTTGTCATCGTGGTTGGCATCTCCAAACGACATTCATTTTGACATGGTTGTTACATAGAAGGATGACACCCCAGTGAGTGCCACGTCTACTGAACCCTGATCAAAAGCGTACCATATATATATATATATATATATATATATATATATATATATATATATCATATATGTCACATATTATGAAATGGACAAAGTCCGAAAATTATTTTAAGACTATAAAATGTATAAATATAAAATGTCTTATATATATATATATATATATATATATATATATATATATATATATATATATATATATATATATATATATATATTTATATATAGTTCTACATTTAGGCAGCAATCTTTCCGTTATGCATGTTTCATAAAAAATGACAGACAAGGTACTACGGTTAAGCTTTTTATTTAATTTTTCGTGTTCTGAAATTAGCTTTCTTTTCTATACCTTTAGCTATTATCAAGATAATGGCTAAAAGTATAGCCGAAAGTGCTCGGAAATATAAAACATTTGGACTGTTCTTAACACCCTTTGTCCAGAAAAGAAAGCTCTTGCTAGAACACAAAAAAAATTAAATAAAAAGCTTAGCCGTAGTAACTTGTCTGTCGTTTTTAATGAAACATGCATACATATATATATATATATATATATATATATATATATATAAATGTCATCCAGAGACAGACTGTTTCGATGTTTCACTGCTCATCAGTCTGGCTAGACATCCGGTTGCCTCTAGCTAGGATCGAAACCCGATTGGTATCAGTCAGAGATTCTACCACTAAGCCGTCGGCGCACGGCAGAGAAGAAGGTTAATTTTAGCGTATTTATTTTTAGATAAACAGACACACTGACCGACAGTGACTCAATTCGCTTTTGCCGAAGAGTCTCGCTATATCAGCGATAATAGTAACTGTTTACAAACCCACACCTCATCCCCAGAGAGCTCAACTGAAATTAATTTTTCAGATACTTATATATACATATATATATATATATATATATATATAGATATTTATATATATATATATATATCGCAAATCGATATATATATATATATATATATATATATATATACCTCTCTCTCTCTATCTATCTATCTCTCTCTCTCTCTATATATATATATATATATATATATATATATATATAATTATAAGATATAAGTAAAATGAAGCCACTAATTTCTAATTATGTGGGAGGTATTTTTGGAAGTACATGTCGGAGATATTTATGACGCACCATATATATATATATATATATATATATATATATATATATATATATATATATATATATATATATATATATTATTTCCAGAAAAACCATTACCTTTAATTTAGTTAATGTTTCCTTAAAATTCTGTTTAGTGATGTTTCAAATTACAGATTTTTACATTCTCATTTTTTAGCATTGTGGAAGACTAATTGTGAATTCTATTGATATCAAGTACTAGCAGCCAACTTTCTGCAATCTGGAAGAATTTTTGTTAGGCTTACATGCGGTTCGTTTGTAATTGGTTTTGGGATTTATTTTTGTCACAGTGCACATTTTTCGTAATCTATTAAGCTATAATATGAGAGCAGCGATTAACGGGTTATGCAACATTTCTTATCAATCTTGCTGTATTTCGATTTGAAAAATTTACCTTATTATTATTTTTTGTTCCACTTCATTTTTTTTTTGCTTAATCTTTGAACCTGTCCTTCCTATATCGCTTTAATTAAATTTTGTATCTCTATTCCCATACGTGCTAATACCCTTGGGAAAGGTATGAATCCTCTTCTTTTTTCTCCCAGCAATGGTTAAATAGCAGGACAGACCGGGTTCTATAGTCGTGGATTGCAACTGGTTTACCACAGAAAAAAGTGGCAACCTACTGAGTGAAAAAAATATCTGATTCGTCACTCATGTATCGAAAGATACATGATCGCCTAAGCTTGTATCACGCATGACACATAACTGAAAAGATATATATATATATATATATATATATATATATATATATATATATATATTGTGAGTGAAATGGGTAGACGGAATATATATATATATATATATATATATATATATTTTGAGTTAAATGGTGGGCGCCGTTGATAGCAGTGCTAGCACGAAGTAACTTGTCATCGTGGCCGAGGGCTTGAGCGTCCTGGACTTGTTCCAATTGTGGATCATGCTAGATAACACGCTCTTTCCCAGAAATTGTAACTAAGGTCTGCTCAGCATTGTTGCAATATAAACAGGTGGGCTCTGTGAATGTTGCTCCTGAGCAAGCGTCTGCAATATTGATTGGCCAGCCGCCCTAGTAGACGGTATTCTCGAATAAAAGTGGCCCGCTATTGGAGAGGACAGGTTGATGAAAGATTTTGACACTAACAGGACATAGTGATAGCAAGAGAATCAGAGGGAAAACGTGTAATCTTGTTAATTTTTATGATTAAATGACCGAACAAGGGAAAAGTCGGAATAGAAAGTTCAGAAGCAATAAAAGACAAAGAAACTATGGAAAGATATCTCCAACATCCTGAAAGCAATATCGTACATGAAAGAAGTTGAATATGAACCTATGCATGCAGAAGCCGCGACAATACTGGAAATAAAGCACATATATTCAACTGCAATGATGTGCGACGTAAGTTTTCACAGGTCCAACTGATTCGTTGAAATATTTCTATTTTGTTGACTGTCAGCTTCTCTATTGTTTGAAGAGCTTCTGGGACCAGAACAATCACCTTGGGCAAATTCTTACTGAGAAATTTCAGAGGAGTGGTACTTTCTTGAATGAATGAACAAAGGATTAGGCAGATAAATGAAGACAGTTCCAGACAGCATTATCTGACGTGTTGCAAAGTTCTAAATAAAATATATATATATATATATATATATATATATATATATATATATATATATATATATATATATATATATATATATATCGGTTACGTTTTAGCATCTTTTGTTCCTCTCATTCATCTTTTCTTTTTGGGACATTTTCCACTTAGGACTCAAATGACAGTTTAAAAATATCCTCTTTAGAAAAAAATTACGTAAATGTAAATAAATGACTAGAAAACAAGCAGAATAAACTTTCATCGTATCTTTTCAGAAAGTTCTTTATTTACAACAACAAACATTTTACTTCAGAAAGAAATGAAACTATAAAAAATGATTTAAAAATATCTTGTTTGTATGTTAAAACTGATCATCTGACCTTTCTTTCTTTGCATGAAATATCAAGAGAAAGCAAGAATAGTTCAATGTATGTATGTTTAAATTAAGATTTAATCTATTTGTAATAGTGGGATTTTAAAATTACGTGTGTAACTTATTTCCCTCCCGAAGTATATATGCGTTTTCCCTCTCTAAGTATATATGTGGGTGAAAGCAGAACTACACTTCTCAAATCACTTGTCTGTCCCTGTGTATGTATGTATGCATCTATCTATCTATCTATCTATCTATCTATAAACAAAACTTATCTGAGATGTATATTTCGAGAATCGGAAAAGGACTATTTTTAAAAGCACAATTCGAGATTTGTTTGATCTATTGGTTCTTCCTGGAGGATAGGACAAAACACAACAGTGCTAATGACGATTTTCCATTCTGGAACACAGGTTCAAAACCTGGCGAAAAACGGATATTTTCTAATAAGATTTTTTCGAATATTCAGTCCGATAGATATAAATTAATATGCTCTTTCATAAATAAATAGAGCATCTTACTCAAATAAGGGTATCCATTAAAACTTCTAGGTAATAAATTAAATACATCAGATTATTAAATGAAAAATTCAGTCCTCTTTCTCTCTATATATATATATAGACACATAATTATAAGATATAAGTAAAATGAAGCCACTAATGTCTAATTATGTGGGAGGTATTTTTTGGGAAGTATATGTCGGATATATATATATATATATATATATATATATATATATATATATATATATATATATATATATATATATATATTTCAGAGAGACCTTTTCCTTTAATTTAGTTAAGGTTTTCTTAAAATTCTGTTTAGGGATGTTTCAAATTACATATTTGTACATTCTGCCATCTATGAATAAATTTCGGCAGATGTGCCTCTGAATTTCTTAAGGTCTCTTTATCCGAGTAACGGTCAGTGAATTTCGGACTGAACTTTTTATTTAAGTAAAACAGGCAGGTTATTTTGGTTCCTCAATCTAGGGATAACTCAACACGGTCTTTTGTTGTACTGCTAATATATAACTAGTTTTCAGTCTGTCTTACTCAGCTCACTGATTGAAATTCCAATAGAATTCAACCAATTTCATAAGCTAAATCTTTTATTTAATCTGCTAGAAAATATTTCATTTTTGGCGTTAAACATATTTTTTTAATGCCTGTGTTCTCCACCAGCAACTGCTATTGATACTCTTGGCCTCTTACGCTGGACCTTGTCTTCCTTCCAATTCGTTTTGGAGGGTTATTGTAAAGCTATGCTTTCTCCAGCGTCGTTTTTCTTTCTTCCTTCATTAATAACTCACATTCGGTATTTATTTCTACGCTGAGCCTACTGAGCTGGCCGTAATGAATTTACATATGCAGAGTTTCTTTCAGACAAAACTTGCAACAGCCAATGTTGTGACAATGAATATATTAATTCCCAATAAACATAATAGGAATATTAAGTATACTTCCAAATAGTGATTTCATCTCAAAGTATTTTCAGCAAGTTGAGTAGTTTTCAGGGGGTAAATTTGCTTTCTATCCGGTTAAATCCACCCTCTCATTTTCAGGGATTGATTTTTAACATTTCCGTTAGATTTCTTTATTCTATCATGACTTATTGGTGGAATATTTCTGCCATATATAGTCTGGTGCTCTCGCTGAACGTCCCGAGGTTCTTGACAAAATCCAGAGACAAATATGCAAGATGATATGTCTTGATCTGGCATCTAGTCTACTATCGCAATTCCCACAGACGTGTTGTGGCCTCCCTCTGTCTCTTCTAAAAATATTTTTACGGCAACTGTTCCGACGAGCTACTGCCGTTGGTTACTGGTTCCCGGACTTCACGAATTTAAACGCACTACCAAGTTGACATCTCGGTCTCACCTTTTCACTGTCAAAACGGTTAAATATAACCGTCCCTTCTTCTCAAACAGCTTCTTCTTAAGCACTTCTCGTCTGTGAAACTCCTTTCCCCTTACTTGCTTCCTCGATGACTATAATCTTCAAATATTCAAGTGTAATGTCAATCGACATCGGACACACTGTGCTTTTTCACTGTCCTCTTCTGTGTCTTTTTCTCAAACGCGACCCTTTCCTTTTGTTCTCAATCCTCTGTAAACCCTTGCGTGCTAGTGGCACTCTCACCTTGCTTGGGGTGAATTGCCTTAAAAAATACATTGTTATTGTGTGCGTATGAGTGCATAAACTAATTGTAAACATGAGTCTGCATGTGTATTATTTTAGACATAATGTTATATCCGAAAAATATATGCAAAGATCATTCGATTAAAAATTTTTAATAATTTAACATTTCGAAATTTCTTTGCATCATTTTTTGAAGAAGTATGTATATATATATATATATATATATATATATATATATATATATATATATATATATATGGACAGTGGTATATATGTTAGGTAATTTCCGTGAATATTTAGTCTTATCATGATTTTGGAAATCATTTAAAAAGTAAATTGTCGATTATTTTCACTGTAAGAAAAAATTAATAATACTCTGATGAAAAGGGAGAATTTCGAGAGTTTACATAAAGAAAAACATATCAAAAGAATTATTCTCTTTTTAAAAATAACTAACACAATTATTCTCTCCAGAATCTATCTTACACAGTTAAAGATTCTTGATAAAATCCAAAGAAAAATCTGCAATGATATTGGTTCTGACCTGGCATTTCAGCTTCAGTTACTTTCTCGCTCCCCTCTGCCTTTTCTATATTTTCATGCTAATTGTTCTGATGAGCATTGTTCTATGGTACCTAGATTATAAGCATTTAAGCGCAGTCTGCTATTTACCCATAGCTGGGGGGGGAGAAGAAGAGGATTCACACCTTTTATGTATCATCTTGTTCTCCCCTAAGCTATAAGTAAATAGTAGGACAGACCGGGTTCTATAGCCTTGGATAGCAACTGGTATACCGCAGAAAGAAATAGCAACCTACTGCGGGAAATACAATCTGCCTCGTCAGTCATGTATCAAAAGATACATGATCGCCTAAGCCAGTATAACGCATGGCACATAACTGACTATATTATCAACAAGGTCCTTATGCAGTTTTTAACCGATATCTACTGTCTTCTTGACTCCTATTTTTTATTGTTTTCTTTCATAAATAAAGTTTCCTTTTCTTCATTCTGACACACTCAATGTCTTAGTGGATTGATTGTTTTCTTTGCTGTGGAATGATAATAATATATACGAGATACCACCTCTTCACTACGACAAACATAAGCAATAGTTGGGAAGGCAGAATATCATCTACCATTTCCATCTAATAAATGTGGCTTGTAGCAGTGTTTGAAGGTGTGGTAATCGAAAAGCATATTATGGAATGATGAGTTTGAAAGATAAAATTAATAACCATTTACTGAAATATAATTTGAAGTCCATTTCGTTCGAAAAAAACTGGAATTATTTTACCTTTTATATATTCCTTATTTCAAAGTTCAATTTGTATAATTATATATAATATTATATATATTTCTTTAATATATATATATATATATATATATATATATATATATATATATATATATGATTTTCAATTAGGGACTTTTATTATATATTTTGCATCTCTCTCTCTCTCTCTCTCTCTCTCTCTCTATATATATATATATATATATATATATATATATATATATATATATATATATTATCACACACATTCACACATTCTTACATACCATACACATACCTACATATACATCCACCCAGGAATATACATAAGCACTTCTATTTTTTCAAAATTGCACATATATGCAAATGCTCATGAAACAATCATATTCTCTCTCTCTCTCTCTCTCTCTCTCTATATATATATATATATATATATATATATATATAGCCTATATGATATATGTATGGGCGTGTATGTGGCATGCATGTATATGTTTAGTTGCATGTCAATGTACAGTACAGAGTAAGAATATAATATAAAAGGCAAAAACAGCATAGCGTGAAACCTGTCCTCTACTACCTTTCAAGGTAGATGTCATCCAGTGCATCGCGAAAAAAGTGACTAAAATGTGCTCGAGCCTCAACATGCATGAAGCGCATGCGTCATCGTATTAGTAGGGGTACATTCTCTAGCAAGTCAGGAAGTGTGTTCGAAATAAAGACCCAGTAAACAATTCCGATAAGACGTTCTGGGAGAACATATAGACCTACGAGACAGTCACTAAGCCAATCATTATTAGTAAACATATGCTGGTGTCTAACCTGTATTGCATCATGGGTATTCCGATCCGCGCAAAAAATTTGGTTGTGTAAATTTGTTATTCCATCTCTTCCAGGGACTTGCTCACATTACAAATGATACGTAGCTACCCTTGAAGTACCCTCCATCTTGTACTGTGAAATCTACGACATGCTAGGACCACTTGATGTCTGCTGATACCTGGATCCTCTCCATCAGCATGTAGAATGTGTTGTTCGTGGTCAGGCGCAGGAGCCGATCTCAGTCTTGCTACGTGTCTTGTCTCAGCAACACGATGATAAACAGCAGTAAAGGCTGGATGATTCGACTGCCTACGGTCTGGAAACGCAATCTGGTACAGCCGTGCAGCCTCGCGTCCGTTACCATTCGCGCGGTCATATGTAAAAAT